CTGGAAATCAGTCTCCTGCCAGTGCTGGGACAGCCCCTCGGGTGGAAAGGCTAACAAGCTTCCCTGGTCTCGGGTAGTGCCCATGTCGCATACATGATCCCCCTGGAGAAGTATTTTAAAAGGATGAAACTGGCCAAGGAGGGGACAGTAATTCTAGGAACAGAGAAATTGCCTGAGACCCCAAGTGAGCTCCAATAATAAAATGACATAGCCCCAGGCAGTTGCTAACCTTTTCCTTCAAACTCCCCCGCCTGGATGATGGGGATTATGAGACCCACGAGTCTGCTTCCAGCCACTCTCCTGTAAGGGGTCCTGGGAAGCGCTGCCAGGAGCTAGAGACAAGGGAGCTATAAACTGAGCTCTGAAAAGACCTGAACAGTCAGACTGTCCAGGAGCAGAGCTCCTTCAGGAGAGACTCCAAGATACTACGGCTCAAGCCCAAGTCGAGTGTCAGCCAACTCCATAGCCCGCCGGAGCGGATTCCTTCTTCAGAGTCACAGCACCACCCCGATTCATCCGTTCCCACCCACACGGTCACAGGTCACTTTGCACCTCGCTGTTCGTTAACTGCTGCCCGCTGGGTTAGCCTGGCGGGTCTGCAGTGCATTGTGGGAGGTAAAGGATAGCTACCTGAGAGGTGCCCTGCTGTAACTTGTTCGCTTTCAAAGTCATTCCAGCGGGCTGCTGCTGTTGAGCCAGATCTGCAGAATCACAGTTGGGTCATGGCTCCTTCTTGAACTTGGTGGGCCCTGTGCTCTCAGGTGGATTTGCTTGCCTGAGGCTCGCTGCAGCCCTCAATTTTAGGCAACTAGGGCACCAGCTTGCTGTTTGTTGAGTTCCTCTCAGCACTGGCCCGTGTAAGGTACAGAGAGAGAATCTACTTCACAGTCTTTTCCCTCAGTGGAAACGGGGAGTGAGTGTTTGGGGGAACCCACCCTCTACTCCGGGTTCCAGCCCAGGGCCACGCAATGAGAGTCTCCAATACCAGCTGCGAGACAGCTACAACACCCCTGGCTACTTCTCCGCACCTTCCTTTCTCAGGCTCGTCCTCCCAGTACCCTTCAGGCAGCGCTTTCCTCCGTCTTCTCCGCTACTCATGCACCCTGCGGGAAAGCTCCTTTTAAATCCCGTCTCAACTGGCTCTTTAATTGGCCCCAGGTGTTCTAATCAGTCCAGGCTCACCTGACTCAGCAAGCCCCCTCAATTAGCCCCAGGTGCTCAACTGACGCTGCTGGTTCTAGACGAGGCCTTGCCAGTTACCCTGGGAACAGAGATTTTCTTAGTCTGAGGCTAATCTCCCTCCCTCCCATTACATTTTTGTATCCCTCTGACCTGACTCTGTCATATAATATTCAAAGTCTGATTCTTTTCCCCAACGACACAAACTGAGGCCGTTATTACAAACACGGCACCAAGGGGGTTAAGACTCCACTTACTTGACCATAAACTCTTGGGGGCAGGACCTATCTTTGTGTCTGTACAGCAGTTAGCTCAGTGAGGTCTTGGCCCATGTAGGGCTCCTAGGGGCAGCAGCAATACAAATAATAAACAAACCCTACCATCCAAAGTTCTTGTTCCTCTTTTTAAACATTAACATATTAACCCTTGTGCGGCCTTCTGGGGACTCAAGTGAGAGAAGCTTGGAGCGGAGGTAGTTTAATCGAGTGCAACCCCTAGTTCCCTCTGAATAATGCCTCCAATGGGTCCAGATTCTTACTTATAAAGAACGTTGAGATCCATGGTTGAAATAAAAGTTCTACGGTGGTCACTTAGCCAAGTCCTGCAGTCCTTAAGGGGACAAATCTTCCCCTAAAATCAGTGGATGCTTTGTTGAGGAAAATACAGGATTCGCTTCTTAACATGTAAGCGGAACGCCCCAAGGATTACAAGCAGTAACAATATGTCAGGGTCCTTGGCTTCCAAACTTCTTTTTGAAACAAAAGACTGGTCTCATCTACAACGCATCTCAGCATTATAAATCTGTTTTAAAGGGGAACCGTAGTTTTAGCAGGTTTAAAACTAATAAAAGAAAGTTCTTCTTCACACTGCACACAGTCAACCTGTGGAACTCCTTGCCAGAAGAGGCTGTGAAGGCTAGGACTATAACAGAGTTTAAAAAAGAGCTAGATAAATTCATGGAGGTTAGGTCCATAAACGGCTATTAGAAATGGTGTCCCTGGCCTCTATTTGTCAAAAGCTGGAGAACGATGGCAGGAGACAAATTGCTTGATCCTTGTCTTCGGTCCACCCCCTCTGGGGCACCTGGTGCTGGCCACTGTCGGCAGACAGGCTACTGGGCTAGATGGACCTTTGATCTGGCCAGGTATGGCCATTCATATGCTCTTATGAGCTAAGTAACTAAATGGTTAATGTAAAGGCAAACAAAGGAGGGATGTAAAATCTGCTGAAGATGTTCACCGGCTATATGTGCAGCGTGGTGGGCCCGGCCAGGCTGCTCCAGGCTGGGTGCCGGTTAACCAGTAAACAAAGGGAGGTTTAAAGATGTGGACTAAAAAAGACTTTTTAAAAGCTGGATTTCAGTAGAGTAACAGTGCACTCCAAGAGGCTGTTTGTAGTAGTGCAGACTAAAATGACAGCAACAGTGCCCTCCACGAGGCTGTTTGTAGTAGTGCAGACTAAAATGAATGCTATAGCATTAACTGGTATTAACGGGCATTCTGCATTAGTAAGGATTACACAAAGTATACACTAGTCCTTCATTTAAAAAAATGTTTTTTGCACTCGTGGAATGCGCCAAATTAGTCTTCCCACAAACTGAAATACCATTGGCACCACTACAGAACTTTTCCCCATCAGAGCTCTTGACAAGCAAGACTAGACTCCTCCAGCCACAAAAAATGCATCATGGCATGTCTCCTCACACTGCTCCCCCACTCATGGGCCTAACGCTGCCCTGGAAGGAAGCTTGTAAGGTGGAGGCAGAGTTTTCTCTCCACTGCCCGTTCAGATTGGACTGTCTGCTGAGCTAACGGGTTCATTAGGGATGTCTGGATGCATCCAAGAGCACACCCAGCAGCAAGCAGGTGCCGGGAAGGATGGGGAACAGTCATTCGTTTCAAGTAAACCAAATAGCAAAGCTTTTTCTGTGCATGGTTACTCTCCTTTCTGCTGTATCCTCAGCAAGTAAAATATGCCACCGTCAGAGCAGCCGGTTTACACAAGACTGAATTCCCTTCTCCCGGGGAATGGAAGTCACATTACCATGCAGTATGATCAGTGCCATCTCCCCAAGACATTCAGTAAGCAAACAAAGACTTCTTCCCTCCTATTAATATCAGAGATTAGTTCCAGCTGGGTTTTTATCAGAAACTCATAATGGATTCTATTTTATCTACATTCCTAATGCTATTTATGAAATTATAGAAGGCAGCGGCATCATTTCCAGTTCCTACCACTAGTATATCAATGCCATTTCTCATAACTTTATCACAAACCTCACATGGCTACGTCTACACTGGCACCCTTTTCCGGAAATGCTTAAAACGGAACAGTTTTCCGTTATAAGTATTTCTGGAAAAAGCGTGTCTACATTGGCAGGATGCTTTTCCGGAAAAGCACTTTTTCCAGAAAAGCGTCCGTGGCCAATGTAGACGCGCTTTTCCGGAAAAAAGCCCCGATCGTCATTTTCACGATCTGGGCTTTTTTGCGGAAAAGACTACTGTGCTGTCTAAACTGGCCCTTTTCCGGAATAGTTTTTCCGGAAAAGGACTTTTGCCCAAACGGGAGCAGCATAGTTTTTCCGGAAAAACACTGACAATTGTACAGTAGATCGTCATTGCTTTTCCGGAAAAGCAAGCGGCCAGTGCAGATAGCTGGCAAGTTATTCTGGAAAAGTGGCTGCTTTTCCGGAATAAGTGGCCCAGTGTAGACACAGCCATGGTGTTTCACGTAAGAATCTCAGCGCTCATATGAAACAAAAAGTACATTTCTAGCCCCCAAGAGTTCCGCGGAAGTTTGAAAATATGACCCAAATGCACTCATGGCGAAAGGGAACCTCTCCCCCGGCATCTTGTATCTCACCACTGTGGGGGGGTCTAGCATGATTTCTGAACAGTCCATCAGCTACTTATGACCAGGTATATGCAAAGTTTACAGGGACAGTTCATTAATTTATAGACAGCCTCTGCAAACATCCCATCTTGGCTTGCGATTTAACCAGGTCTCTTACTCAAAGCAGGGTTGGAGGTGGGTTAGTACAGGAAAAATCCATGTATTTAAAGGGGTGAGTGGTATTTCCTTTTTGGAGCTGCAGCACTAGGTCAATACTCAAGAATAGCACGGGTGTGGGGGGAGGAGAGAGGTTGGAAAGGCCTGAGCGATGGAACCACAACTATTCATTAGAGATCCCATGGCAGTTTCTACCAGGAACACTAGATTCGTGTAAGCTCCCTATGGCAGGACCATCTTTTTGTCCTGTTTGTACACCATCTAGCACACGGTCATCCTGGTCCACAACTGAGGCTTATAGACTCTACAGGAATACAAATAATGGGCCAGGCTATTTCTTAATGAGAGCAGTTACCCTGTGCCTGTCTAAAGATTCTGCTGTAGTTTCACTAAAAACAGTACTTCCCCTTCTTGTTTACAACCCTATTTTACAGTGTTCCTGGCTACAGTTAAGCCACTACCAGGTTCTACCACGTGGTGTCCACTGTGATCCCAATAGAGCAGTGGATTTCGACTTATCAACCACCAAGGGTCACACCCGCACTACCTGAATGGCCCTGAGGATGTCACATGGACCGCAGCTGCACGCTGATTGGGTCACAGGTGGAGAACTACTGCTGCATAGCCATGTGGGAAGTGCTGCAGGGTCCCTGCTGAATGCTGCTGAATTTCTGTAGCATCCTCCTTGCACAGCCTCAGCCACCTTTGTGAGCAGCTCACCCATGCTGCTTAGCGATGACAGGAGAAGCCGCTGGCGTGCAGGGCTTTTCAGCACGTTCAGGCGACAACGGACTGAATTAAAAAGCTGCTGCTTATGTAAGAAAGTTGTCTTTAATTTGAAGTTATGCAAAAACATGTCTGCTCAGAGCTTTTGGCCGCACTGCAGAATTACCGCTAGCCACAATTTTGTACATAGTCCCTGGTCAGCTTCCAGATCAGCAAGTGGCGTCTGTCTCCAGTTCTACTTCACATACACCTAGTAATCTTCACAGATTTCCTGGCGGTACCCCACTTTCAATATGGAGAAACTTCAAGGCACTCCAGTATAATGAATGGCAATGGGTCCAAGAGGAACAAGATAGTAACAGGAGTGCTTTGGCAGACTGGCTATGCCCTATCTAAAGAGGAAAATTAGACTACCAGTTGGAAAGGGAACTATACTGTTGTGCAGGAGGCACCACACAAACCGGGGTGAGCGGACGTGGAAACGCCTGATGCAAGGAGAGTTTGGCTGAAATGGGCCTTCTTAAATCATCCCTTTCCTTTAGTCCCTGCATCCCTGTCACCCATGACAAACCACTGGGCTAGTCTCAATATCTATGAAAATAAAACCAGGCATATCCGAACTGTGGTGAGTAACACATTTCATCATACAGCGGATTTTGCTTCAGGTCCCCGCTCCAAGACAAGATTGTTCTTCCCCTCCCCCCCATCAAATTATTTTGCTATTTCCCAATGGACAGCTGGCAGATGAGTCGACTGAATAAGAACCCAACTGGAGAGCTGTCAGGCTATTTATCCCACTACATCTATGTGCAAGGTGATGTCTCTTCCCCTGCCTCCCACAAGAGGGGCTCCGTGTACTAGTAGCCACAAACCTACTTGCCTTGCTGCAAGTGGAATTCTAAAGTACAGGCCTGCTGGCCAACACCCCCTGCTGGACACAGCCCTTCACTTCTTCTTCGGGAGGAGGTTTAACACTCCCAGCTGTCTGACGCAGGCATCCAGCTGTCTGTCAGCTTCGGTATCCCCCAAAGACTTCACATTAGCTTGCCCAGCACAGTCCTTCTGCAAGCAGAGCAGCTCCTGATCAGCTGTGGAGAGGAAAGGCAGTCGTTAGGCCCTTCCTTCTTCAGGCAGATTGGTAGGGGTAACTCTCGGGGTAATCGGGGAGGGGAATGTTGACAGAGGCAATCGGGGAAGAGTGCTCAGAGCTGGAAACCACAGCAGCCTGGGTGTCCTTTCTGGCATGAGGCTGAAGGACAATTGCCACAGCCACTCGTGGAAAGACAAGCGTCCCCCACCCATCCCGGTACTGCCAAGATCACCAAGTAGCTGCTCATGAAGATGTGAGCTGAACTCCAGGCAGCAGCCGTAATGATGTCAGAGGAGCTGCACACCAAGGAGAGCTGCTGTGCTAGCAAGCATCTCCCCAGATGAATGCACCCAACATGTATATGGCTGGATGTATGATCTTTTCCACCCAGAAATGGCTTGATCTTTGGATTTTCGTCGGATGGCCACCAATAGCCTGTTCTAAAATTGAAAAATTGTGAGTAGCTAATGGGTCTTGACATGCAGGGTGCATATCTAAGACTGCCCCGGACACCGATGGGTCTTTGGGGCAAATCAGAGAGTGATTTAAACAGAGGAAAAGTCAGTATCATTTTGTAAGAGAATCAGGTTAGTGCCTAACTACCACTTTGCCTTTGTAAAAAATGGTAAAAAGCAATAGGCCATTTAGGTCTGCAATTTCAAGACACTTGTGGCTGACTTGTCCACTACAAGCAATACCTTCCACGAGAAGGGGTACAGACAGCAAAGCCCTATCTCCTCAAAAGAGTGAGTTCAGCTGACCCATGGATCAACTGGCCCCTAGTTGGGGGGGTACAAGGTTGACAGGCTTTTTAAAAATTGATTTGCTAGGGACAGATCTTGACTTTTGGAGAAGACACTATCTTGGCCACATTGCGAACCACCGCTCTGTACATCCGACTCAGCCAACCTTAACACAGCACATCCATGGATTTGAAAAAGAAGTGACAAAGGTGTATATTGGTGTCAGGCCTAACACCAAAAGGCAGAGCCTTACTGGGCCTTCCAGTCTGGACATGGCTAAGTACATGGTCTCAAGGAGATCCTAAAACCATGTTATTGTATTATAATTCCAAAGTACTTGGAAGAATCACACTCCGGTTCTATCAAGAAAGGAGCCATACAGAATTCTTCTACAGAGACTAAATATGGACGTGATTAAATCAGACCCAAGCACCTCAGATCTTTGAGGAAGTTTCAATGTGGATCCAAGCTCTGTGCATTGCTATTATCATCCACAGGAGTTAAGATAGTAAGGGGACACTTCAAGTTAAAAAAAATATTCTTTTAAATGTTGTTACCAGCAATCTCCAAGAGTCCATTTTGGGGAGTCTTTCAGGAAGCCACAAAGGAGAGAAATTATGTTTTAAAGAAAATACTCTTGTGAAACTACAGAAATTGTCAGAGGGAATCAGGGACAGCATCATACTTGAACCTACTTTCAATTCAGTTTTTGAAAGTGACTAGGTTGCACAACGACAACATCAATTTAATAAAAATCTCAAGCTCAAGAATACAAATCTGCTTTCATTTATCCGAGCAAAGGTCAAAGTCAGTTACCTGCATGGCTTTCTGTCTGTGCCTCAGAAAGGGCTTTTTGGGTGGACTCCAGTACCTTAGTCAGATGAGCTTTCTCGCTTTTGAACATACGCTCTTTCTGATGAAGGGAGGCTATCCTGGTTTCTGATTCCGCTATCAACTGTTCCAATGTGGTAGCATCTGACTGCTCACTAAAAAGTAACCAGAAATAGAATTAACGTAAATTGACCCTATTCATTCAATTAGACATACACAAATCTTGTAGGAAAACAGGCACACAGGAATTGCCAGATTGGATCATTCTTGCCCAGTGTCCTGTCTCCAACAAGTGGCCTGTCCCAATTCTTCAGAAGAGGGTCTAAGAACCCCACAATAGATGACATGGGATAATCGGCCTTCCATTAGGTCTCTTCCTGGTATCTCAGAGTTAGAGATTAGACCAAGCTCTTGAAGCATGTGGCCCAATATCCCTTCCAGAAGATTTGGTATGGATAATTAAAACAACTCTGGATATCCTTGATACCCAAGTAAGTGTCCAACCTGTCTTTCAAGAGCAACAGTCTCAATGGAAAGGTAAATCATAGGATTCGTGGAGCTGCAACTCCCCCAATAGGCCGTTTGCAGTACTGCAACCCAATGTCCACACCACCACAGCGAGGATGAATTTAGCAGTTCTGACAAGTTCCATTCATGTTTATTTTTTTTTTCCTGTGTGAATGTAATTCTTGTGTGATGTGATGGAAAGACAGCCCTGCACACTGAATATCAGCAATGTGGGGCAGTTACATAGCGCTTCCTCTTCAAAGCTCTTGACAAACATTAATTAGCTGACATCCTCTACGCGGCCATAGACCCAGCAGACCTCACCCTTCCCCAAGAGCAGGTATGTCAGAAGAAGGTATTTTCATTACAGTAACATCCTTAGAGTCTCCAGTCAGAGCTCAGGGCCCCTTTGTGCTAAGGGCTGTACAAACAAAGGGGAAAATGAGAGTTCTGGAGTTGAAGAGTTTCTTAACAATGAGATACAACAGAAGGATGAAACTTACAGTGTTGCCTGGCGTGGCAACAATGTTTGTGTGCTCTGAACAGCCCTTAGCTTCTGGCTGGGGCTCCTATGTGCTACAATGATAATCGTATGCTTGCTTACATTCATAGACTCCTTTGCGGTTACAAAAATTGCAGATATCCTCAGATCTGCAGGGCTCTATTCATTCAGACTAGCTGCTCACACGACAGAGTGCCACATCTCGCTGTTATCACACATGGAAACATTCTAAAGGCATCACAGCGGAGACGGTCCTCAAGAGAGACTGGAAGGAGGATAAAAGGGTGACCTTAAGAATTTCGGGGGAGGGGAGAGGGAGACATAAGAGACAGCATAAGGGAAAGCACGGAGGTGCTTGTAGGAGACATCAACGAACGGGTTTGTTCTACGAATGGGTTGTGAGATGAGCGGGACTTGGCACTCATCTGGAGAGATCACAGCATGGCCCTGCTACAAAGGGAGGTGAGGATAAATACAGTGAAGAGAGCTGTTCAGATACTATCCTAACAGGAGTGAGGGCAGATAAGTCCCGTAGACGAATCATTTATATTGCAGTAGTGCCTACAAGGCCAGTCAACATCAAGACCTAGTCACTGGACACCCGCATAAAAAAAGGCAGCTCCAACCTGTTGGGGAAATCTCGCTCCCCTGGGGTACAGAGTCCCCAGAAGGATCCGAGGCTGGAGGTCAAAGCAGTGAGGCAGGAGAGACATCTAGAAGGAAAACTTTATTATGCATGCATGCAGGCTGACAGCTACCAGAGTGAGAGCAGCAGCAGCCCTGAGAGACAGTTTCAGTGATCCTTTATACAGTATGTTCAGACAGTTTAGTTGTTGATTGTTTTCTTTAACATATCAGAGTCTCAGCAGAAGTACTCTGAGACGTTTCTGTTCACAACAGAAGTGCTAGAAGTCAGTTTTACAGAACAAAGGCACATGAGAATCTGAGTGAGGAGTCTACAAGGCAAACTGTGACAAAGATAAGAGTTTACATGGCAATTTGTGACAGACTAGGAGTCTCCATGAAGTTGAGATAGGAGGCATTGGAAGGGTCTTGATTAGAGTTAAGATGATTTCTCTCTGTTACAGGGAGAGAGGCCTGGATAACTTTTAGCCCTTCCAGCAGTTTTCTCTGAGAGAGTTTTGATTTCCTGCACAGTCCCCCCTTAGACACAATTGGAGTTATTTGATTTTTCTCCCACAAACCCCACAGGGTTTACATAGCAACATGATGGACGTTTGGGGTTTTTGTAGGGCCAGAATACAGAGGGTTTACAATTACAGTCCCTAATCATGTTTTCATGTGCATAGCAACATGCTGGACATTTGGGGTTTTTGTAGGGCCAGAATACAATAAAAGCACAGAGCACCACACACCAAACTAGGACCGTCAGTCACTGATGTGTTCATCTGAATGTGCCATTTTACTCTAAAATGTGACTGCAAAAATGGTACTGTGGGGCTCTGTGTGCACTCTCTCTCAGACAGTAGATCACACACACACAGCTTACAACTTATAGGATTTTTTCCCCCTGTCAGTTCAACACACTCAGCCTGGTCTACACAGCACCAAATTTTGAAATATAGCGCTATTTTGAAACGTCCCTTGCTCCTCGTAGAATGAGGTTGACAGGGATGTTGGAATAGCGAGCCCAAAATAATGGGCTTGCTGGGAAGATGCAGGATAGTTATTTCAGGGTGCTCTGGTATCCCGGAATAGCGTTGCAGTATAGACGTATCCCGACAGTCATTGTTGGGTGGCTATGGCTTTCCACCTAAAATATCACAACTGGTAAAAGAGTTCTGAAGGCCAAACTCAGCCATCAGTGACACATCTGCCACCCACTGCATTCAGCAGGGCTGCTCAGGGGTAATTAAGTGCAACTTTGTAAACAATTCTGATGAACAAGATGGAAGAATCCGGCACTCCCTCTCCTAACTGTGCTGGCCTGGCAAAACAAGGAGGCGTTAAGACTTATTTTTGTCGCTCCTCTGAGCAAGACAATTCTGTAAACTTGCAAGGAGCAATTTGAGCAACAGGAATGTGCCATTTGTACAGTTTCTTCTCCAAAGATGGCAGGTTAGAGATTCTCCAGGTTAGCATTGACGCCTGATTGAACAAGCAAGCTAAGAAGTATTAACCTAACAGTTAAACAGGTTGAACCCAGCTGAACTGAGCTTGCCTGGCACAGCCGGGGAGAAAGTATGGGAAGATAGCGCTAAGTCTTTTCTCAACTCATGGGTATATAAAATGGACCCTAGTAACTTAGAGCCTGCTCAAAATCACATTGGCAACAGCAATCTCTTAGGGACCACTATAAAGACAGAGAAACCTGTGCTTAAGTCCTACCTGTCCCACCACCTGCCATGCCCTCAGCCCACACCCCTCCACCTTGACATGCCTCCTTCACCTGTTGGGAAAGGGAAGGAGAGAAGTAGAAGGGGCTGTGTACAGCCAGCTAGAAACGGATTTATGCCACCAGGAGATTCCCTTATTCTGGGGAAATCCCTGACTGACTCTTTAGGACAGCTTTCCTGCCACTTTGCAAGCAAGACAAAGCTGATACACAAGGAAACCAGGATCCGACACAGCATCTTTGCAAAGAAATGCAGGGAACTAAAAATGTTGCCTCCGAAATATGCTGTACATGTTCCCTTATTTAAAATGGCAATCGACCCTGCTGGCAGACTCCCTCTGCAATTGAGGGAGAGTAAAGGGGAGAATTCTCCCGGCCTTAGATGAAAGCTTGTGACCCTTGCTGCAAATGGTAGAGCACATCAATGCTCTCAGACATTTCCAACGTGCCCTTTGCTGCAGTATTTTGATACATGAACCGACAAAGAACCTCTGAGGTCTAAGTGAATCTGATTGTTCCCGCCTACCATGCTTTAAAACGGTTGAAGAATGGAAGATTCATAGGGACAGTTCAAAGAAGAAGACAGCCTCCCAAGTTTAACATTGCATCATTAGTAGCCACTGGCTTATGCTAAGCCACAGGGTCTTGCTTTGTTTATATTGTGGGGAGAAAAAGAAACAGTTAGTCAAAGGAATCCAACCTCTCAGCAGTCTCCTAGTCCAGAGCAAGGGCCAGCTGGCCTTTAAAGCAGGACAAGCAATAGACCCGACAGAGTCCACTTGGCAATATCACCTCACTACCCAAGCAGAGAGAACATCACAAACCTGCGGCTGCAACCCCAGCCCACAACTGAATCATTCAGGCACATAAAGGGCAGCCTTTGGGCTCTTGGCAGGTCACCAGCTAGCCCACCCCTCTGGTTGTTTTCTCTCATGCCCTGGTGGAAGAGACACTAATTGCTCAAATGCTACTATTTGATTTCATTTAATGAACCAGCTTAAGCTTCCAGCGTTCGTATTGTCCCTGTGTCAACGATATAACCCGCTCTGATGTGATACATGTACCGGTCTAATCACCATCTTTGAAGAGGCCACACTAGTGCCCTGCTAATCACTCTATATAGGCTATGTCTACACTGGCATGATTTTCCGGAAATGCTTTGAACGGAAAAGTTTTCCGTTAAAAGCATTTTCGGAAAAGCGTGTCTAGATTGGCAGGATGCTTTTCCGCAAAAAGTGTTTTTGCGGAAAAGCGTCTGTGGCCAATCTAGACGCGCTTTTCCGCAAAAAAGCCCCGATCACCATTTTTGCTATCGGGGCTTTTTTGCGGAAAACACTACTGTGCTGTCTACACTGGCCCTTTTGCGCAAAAGTTTTTCAGAAAAAGACTTTTGCCCCAACGGGAGCAGCATAGTATTTCCGGAAAAGCACTGACAATCTTACATGAGATCGTCAGTGCTTTTCCAGAAATTCAAGAGGCCAGTGTAGACAGCTGGCAAGTTTTTCTGGAAAAGCGGCTGATTTTCTGGAAAAACTTTCCAGTCTAGACACAGCCTATCAGTATATTGCAAGCCAAACACCCTCTGCTCGACCTGGGTATATCCATACCTGGTATCTTGAGCAATATCCTTTTTCAGTCTTTTCAGCTCAGATGCAACAGCCTGAAGTTGTTCTCGAGTCTTGTGTTCCTCCTCCAGTAGTGGATGCAAATGCACAATCTGCGCCACCAGAGGTAGACAGCTGTCTCTTTCTGTGGCGCTACAAAAGCAGAATAGAAAAGCATTGTTTCTGTTCCCAGTCACTGTTCCATTGACCACACTAGGTGTTCGTTATACATGGCAAAACTGCTTTAGCCCACATGTGACGGAGTGGGGAACTTATTCATGCCGGTATGTTGCAGGTGAGTTCTGCTGTCCTATAGTGACCTGGTGCATGTGCCTCAGTTTCCTGGAGCACTGTACCAGGATAGGAATTTTGGGTGTGATAGCCTCCCACACTTACACACTTACCCTTGTAATCTGAGCCCAGGAGAAAGTGAGACCAGGTGACAGCTTTTGCCTAGGAAGCAGGACAAAGGCCGGAGAAGGAGCCTGGCTGGGCTGCTGGAAGTGGGGCAGTCTGGGCTGGTTTGGGGAGCAGGAAGGGAGCCGGGCCCTAGCTTTCGGGGCCCTTTCCCAGAGATGGATGGTGCTGACGGCTTCTGGTTACTGTGCTGACAAATCTGCTCTACGCTGTGTCCCTGTCAACTAATAAACCTTCTGTTCTACCTGTCGGCTGAGAGGCACATCTGGCTGCAGTTGGGGGCGCAGGGCCCAGTGACTCCCCTGCCACGTGGCAGGTCTGGTTCCAGCCGGGCTGCAGCGTCCTGCCCGCCATAGCTGGAACTGGGGCCAGTGAGAGATAGCTTTCCTGCACGCTGGTGCCAGCCGGAGCAAATGAGGGTGGGGCAGGCCAGCCACTTGCCACCACGTGGCCCTGCCAGAACTCACCAGGCCGCTGCCGCCACCACTCACCTTCCTGTCCAGCAGCAAAGTGAGCGGTTGTGAGCACTGCCGTGCGCCCCTGCAGGCGAATTGAGCAAGCCTGACATTTTTCTTGTGCACAGCCTCGCAGGCGGGCAGCTTAGAGGGAACCCTGGTGTGTTGTAAAAAGCCCTTTCACGTTCATTTACAGAAAGCTTCCTGCCAATCAAAGACCTTGTGATATGGCACTGACATTAAATCAACACACAGAGGTTTCTTACTTAACATTGCAGTCTGCAAGTCGTGATTAAAACATAAAGCTAACCACGATGCTGTTTAATGAGAAATGTTAAAAGACTTATTAGGAGACTTACTATTGTGCTATTTCTGTCTCAAGTCTCATGATCTCATCCTTCTCTGTGCTCACTTTCACTTCGCTCTCATGCACCTTGCCTACCAGGAATGACAGTAACATCTGGAAAGGCAAAAATAGGGGAAAAAATTCAAGTAAACACAGAACAAGCCAGACTTGCTAGGTGGAGTTTGAAAGCTCTGGTATTAGTCTCAAATCATAATTTTTTTAAAAAAAAATCTCTATTTTTGCCTTGAAGCCTCTAGTTTTTTCCTTTTCCAAAGTTGTGCTGGTGAAAATGCACCTTAATAGTCTCACTACCAATTAAAATTGAGACATCAGCAAAGCTGAACTTTACCAGCAGATAGCAGTCTCCTACTCAGATACCACGGGAAGATGGGAAAATATATTCTTCAAACACACAGAGCACTACGACTGGGGGTGGGTTGTCAAACTCTGTTTCAGAAAGCCTCTAGTGTCTGACATAGAAGACCCAACTCTGTTAGCCAAAACGATAGCAGGATCATCAACCTCTACATGTGAGCCAGCCACCAGCAAAGGGGGACAGAGCGCCACATGGAATGGGTGTGGTCGGTCACACCCTCATTAGTCCTGTGGGTTTTTATTTCAATGAATATTTTTATAACATTAACTGCCATTAAACCAGGAGAAGTCTATGTCATGGAGTTAGCACGGGCTTGGGAGCAGGTCACCTCAACAGGGCCATGCTGAATGGCAACAGCAAGTAGAGGTGACGTGTTTTTGAGCACACTCGTCAGCCGGGTGCTAATTCAACAGTCAAGAGGCTGTTTAAACCACTAACAATAAGATTTGTAAGGAAAGCCACACACATATGGACTATAATGAAACGCATTACCCAGTTCACAGAACCTTACCTCTAGGTCCGCACTGCTTAGGTCAGAGAGCAAGTCATCTTCATCCCTCGTTAAGTAGGACTGTACCTTTTCCATCTCTGACACTGTAATAAGAAATACATAAGGGCTACGTCTACACCGGTTCTTGCGTTAAAGTAGTTGCACAAGAGAGCATTTATACTGGCATGTGCTTTTGCGCAAGAGCATCCATGCCAATGTAGACGCTCTCTTGCGCAAGAAAGCTCTGATGGCCATTTTAACCATAGGGCTTTCTTGAGCAAGAAATTCATGTTGCCTGTCTACACTGGCCTTTTCTGGAAGAGCTCTTGAGCAAGAGGGCTTATTCCTGAGCGGGAGTGTCAGAGTTTTGGCGCAAGAAGCCCCAATTTCATACATTAGAACGTCAGTTTACTTGCGCAAGAACACGCGGCAAGTGAAGACAGACAGCAAGTTTTTGCGCAAGAGCGGCCGCTTCTGCGCGAGATCGCGCCAGTATAGATACAGCCTCAGTGTCATGCAGCAGCCCCCCCTAAGGACTTTTCAGCCACCTCAATGAAAGGTAAGTTGGGCTGATTTTCCTGGCTCCAAAGAAGCTCAAACCACTGGGTCCTGGCAAATCATCCCTGCCAGAAACAACTTACCCTGAAGCTCATGGAAAGAACATCTGAAGAACAGATTTCTTTTGCTTTTGAAATTGACCAGATTGCACCAAGGGTCAGACCTTTAAACTACAGGCAGTCCCCGGGTTACATGGATCCGACTTACATCGGATCCCTACTTACAAACGGGGTGAGGCAACCCCGCACTAGCTGCTTCCCCCCAGCAGACCAGGGAGACGCGAAGCTAGCGCCCCCCCGCAGCAGACCAAGGAGACACGGAGCAGCTTTTCTCAGCAGACACCTCAGCTTGAGAATAAAGGACTGAGGGAAGTGAGGTGTGGGAGATTAAAACTGAGCTCTGGAGAAATGTTTGGCTAGTGTTTCCCCTACAATATGTACCAGTTCCGACTTACATACAAATTCAACTTAAGAACAAACCTACAGTCCCTATCTTGTACGTAACCCGGGGACCGCCTGTAATTCCTATGAAAAGATACAGCAAAACCATCTTTAACCACAAGGACCCCACTTAGCCCTGCCCTCAATACACTCTCCAGTAGTAAAGTTTATGTATTTTCAGCAAAGTGCATCATGTTTGTTCACCAGGTGGCATGGCTGCTCCTCATTCAGTTACTGTAATTAAGGAAGTGCTGGTGTTCAAACAGGAAAAGAAATGACTAAATTCTTCAGTCTCACTTTTGCAGGTGCAAAATTCCCTAATCAATGAGTTTCTCTCAGGCTAAGGGATATAACTCGTCAGATCCCTTGGTAAAGTAGTGGTGGCACATCACTGAGTAAACAAAATCCCTGCAGGTAACATTGAGCTTTCATGGCCTGTTGTCACTGACTTCAATGGGAGGAAGGCCTTTGTCAAGAACAACAGCCGAAAACATATTATCTTCTCTCCTCTAGAAACCTACCTGCAAATCTTTCCTAGGTCACCAGAAAAACAAGCAGTCCAGACTTAGCTTGGTCTCTAGTGGGTCATAATCAAATCCCATCAAAACCAGCCAGCCAAGCAGCCCGTCTCACTGCGCCCCTGCTGGACCAAGGCATGGGGAGAACTGCAGTCAGGCGGGATGCTGGAAAGAGGAGTAGGTGGCAGAAGAGGCAGAAGCTGGGGGAGACCCAGGGTTGGCCCCAGCTCAGCAGCTGTAACCCTGTTCCTTCAGCAGCCCCAAAGCTTCCCCTGCCTCAGCCAACCCCACAAACCCAGCTTCCCTTAGCTGCCTCCTTACCTCCAAAGCCCCTCTATCCAAACCCCCAAGCTTCAGACCCTCGACCTCTGCCCTCGTCCTCCACCCCACCCCCCATATT